AAGTTCTTAATAAGCGCCGCATAAGTTACGCACAAGTTACTGATAGGTTTTGGATATGCTAGACACACAACTTATGAGTAACTTACCCTTATATGTCAACGATCAGATAACTTACCTCTATCTTATGCCCCATGTATGAGCATATACTGGCATACGTCGGGAAACTTTGAACGTGCTCAAAATTTCTCTACGTACTTTCCGTATGTTGATGTATGCCAGCGTGCCTTAGCGTAGTTCAGCATGCACATAACTTATACAAAACGTACCCATAACTTATCCAACGTATGTCAGCAATTTGGCCCGATTGATTGTATGTCAGGCATACGCTGCTCTAAATTGTCAAGTTGTTACAGGAGCTTAAAGGCTGATTTATACGCAGAAACTAGGTTGTCTGCATGTGTGTTGCAGTGAACACAAATGTGCCCCCGTCCCCTCCGCAGATACTCCGGTGCACCTCTCTAAAACTGTAAGTGACCGCAGACAGTGCCGCAGACACGTGGTCTCTGATTGGTCAAATCTACATCCGCTCTACACTATGCGTATTTCTTGTTTGGTACCTTACCGGCTTGTTGAGTTTGTATGACAACCATTGTTAAAAATGACTTGTAAAGATAGACCAGTTAGAACAGTGAGTTGGGCAAGAACGCTGGGACAATTTTTCCACCTGGATCCACGCTCTTTTTCTCCCTCATGTCCCTCCGTTGATGCACAAACTTGCCCCCATTTCCTCACCATCTCTGCCATATCTTGACCCACAGCTAGTTCCTGATTATCCCTCTTGCGTCGTGGCGTGGAATAACATAGCGCAGACCACGCTTCAATATTGAACATAAATAAACAAAAAAAGTGACACAATGTATAACCAGCCCAGTAGGCACTGAAAAATACCCTTTTCTTTTGTAATATGTTTTTTTATAAAGGGGGCTTTGTGAGTGAGGAGAAAAAAAAACATGGATACTAACAAGAAGAACATCATGGGAAATCTCTTCCTCTCTGTAATTTTATTGCAACGTTTTATATCAGTTACAGAAACCTTTTGATTGCAAGGAATTACATTTCAGCCTGGAAGTAATATATTCATAAACTAGTCTTACAAAATGCTTTTAGATGAAGATATAGTGTAGAGACTGATTGTGTTAGAATTTAGTGGCTCATGAGGGGAATGAAGCTAATAAGCTACATCTTAACATGTCAAACTTAATAAAACATTTCTCGATTCATCACCCAGAGGAGCACAATGAATTTAGTGTAATAAGAGAGCAGCAGTTGGAAACATCTGAAGCTGTATCATTTCTCAGAGAAGGGAGCACAGTTAAAGATTGATTAAACCTAAATTTTAAAATTAAAGAAAAAAAAATCATATCAGCAGAGGAAAAACCACTTGGCACACAAGATCAGCGTTAAACATGTATTTTTTGAATATTTGAGAACTTGGCACTTTATGTGAGAATAGATATATAATACTTATAGAGCTCAAATAATTAAATCATAAACATATCCATTATAGTTTATTACCTGAGTATTCACTTCAAAGAATTGTAATGTTATTTTATTGGATAGAAAATCGTGAAGCCGTGAAATATTATGAAGTAAAGGGAGAGTGATAACTGGTTTTGAAAGTATGGTTTTAAAACTTGTATTTATATACAGTCCCTTCAGGCAAATAGACTGTTGAACCACCTCAGACTTCATTTAAAACTCCAGGTTTTCTCCTTTTATTCCTCTATATCAAGCACAACCTATCTTCCCTTGAAATGTGGCCTGCTGTTTTGTCCTCATTACCACTTATGTTTTGTGCTGTGATAGTATTTTTTTCTGTTCTGCCAATCAGTCAAATTAAACAGTCAATATCCCCTTACTTCTCAGGACACAATGTCTGGACGCACATTTCATGATCCCCTCGTCTCAAACTTGTCTGCTGCTGTTTTTAGAAAAGATGAAGACCATACTTCGTACCATGGAAATGTGCTCACAGCCTTTGATGCTTTATTCACGTCAAGTTTTTCAAAAGAACATGCCCGGTTCCTTTTCTTCCTCCCAGTTCCTCTTTCTCTAACCCCCGCCCAGCCCCCACTCTGCCTCCTCTGATCGATACAGCCATGTCTCTTGGTCCCACATGTCATCTTTTTTCTTTGACGCGGCTCTTCTCTGCTGGCTGCTTGGTATTCAGGAGTTGGAATGCATGCACCATCTCAGATCCATCAGATAGGTCTGATAGTGATGCCTCACCATGGCTCTATAAAATAGCAAGATGTGAACAGAGGGAAGAAAGGCTTGGTGAAATAAAAGTGATGTGTCTCTGTTTGGGGGTTGGGGTTACTGGAGTAGAGGTCAATGGTTTGTCAATTGCTTAGCGGGACCCAATCATACCACTGGAGGAAAGTAAAAAGCAGAAAAAAGGTAGACAAAAATAAAGTAAAGATATATTGTGATTATATCATATTAAACTTAAAATAATCACTTGATAATGGATAAAGCTTATAAAGTTTTGAAAATGTAAACTGTAACCTTAGAACCATCATCCATTGGGGTGGTTCACCGTCAAGTGTGTAGATGATGAGGATCAGCTCCTCTAAGTAACAGACCATGGTTTTCAATTTGAAAAAGGTGGCTTGACCCCTTTAGGTCAGAAGAGAGTTCCTGCATCTAGTTGAGATATTCAAGTATCTTGTTGTCCACTTTATCAGTGAGGGGAGAATGAGGTGCTGCTATAATGCGGACGATGCACTATTGTGTTCAGGTGAAGATAGAGTTGAGCCAAAAAAGGCAAAGCTCTAAATTTAGTAGTCGATCTCCATTCCTACCCTCACCTATTGTCATGCAAGCTGGATCATGACAGAAAGAACAAAATCCCAGATACAACCAAATGATAAAAGCTTTGTCCACATGGAAATGGGAAATCCCTTAGAGAAAGGATGATGGCTAAGTTAGTTCTAAAATCAATGTTCCCTGGATGTCTCCTGAGGGAGGTGTTCCAGGCTCATCCCAACAGAAGGAGGCCCAGGAGATGGAAAAAGGACAATGCCTCCCTGCTGGCCTGGGAACACTCCATGTTCCCCCGATTGGAAATGTTATACAATGTATAAAATAAAAAGATAAAAGTTCATACCACACAGATGAAAAACAACTAGCTCTTGTTCTAGAGTACAAAAAATAAAATAAATAGAAATAAAAAAAAGTTCCCAAACGTATAAATGAACTAGTTTGAGTTCATTTGGTAAATTAAGCCACAATATATATACTACAATCATATAATCATATTGATCGCACATTGGAGAAATTTACCTCTGCATTTAAGCAGTGGGCTGCCATCAGGGGGCGCCTGAGGAGCTGTGAGGGAGACCCAGAGTGGCAGTCTGTGGGACTGGGGCTCAAACTCAGAACCTCAAGATTCCAAGCCCTATGCCCTAACCACTAGGCCGCCACTCCCCTAATACATACACACATATATAGTGATAGCTTTTTAATAATGAGTGTATTCAACAAAAGTGGACAATGTTAATTTATGACTGCAATTAAAGTATGTCTGATTATTAATTAATCATTAACCAAACCGCAATAAATGTTTCTACATGATAACGTTTTTTAAGCAAAAGAAGGATTCACATTCTTATGAAAGGGTTACATTCCTTAGAGACAGTAGATCAGTCATATAAAAGAATGAGAGACACGTCCTTTCATCTATGCTTGAATTGCGGAAAATTAAAGTACTTATAATCCTTCATGTTGCTGCGATCTTCGGTCTTGGTTATGTCAGGAAGGTTTAATCCAGCTTTAATGGCAACTGTAGTGTGTGTGCTCTATCAAGCCCCCAGAATAAGCAAGTAAGAGACCAGGGGTGCATATATATATATATATATATATATGCATGCAAAACTGGAGAGACAAGAAAAAGAATACAAAATACATACAAAAAGAAATGCATGAATTAGTGAAAGAAACAATAACAGATCCATCAGATTTGCTGGATCTGATCTGGGATGCCTTAAAACTTGGATAAATAATCACAAAAAAAACTAAACAATAAGTTCACCTGCTTACTATCCTTAAACATTATTCCAGGACTATAAACAAGAACATTGTGATTTTCTTTTTTCTTAACAGCAAAATGTAGTTTTTCTGTACCATATGATATTTAAGCTCTTAACTTTGGGTGGACTACATGTCGCTATGCATCGCTACAGCATAAAGGCACCTTTTAATGCTTTTTCCACTTAAATGCATTCTGAATTTTCTTCTTTTAACTCATTTTGTTTTCTTTAACTTGCATATAATCTCTTATGTGTCAAAGCAGAGGAGGATAAGTAAAATGCTGATCATATTGATGTTTTCTCTTTTTTCTTTTATTAGTCCCTGTCTTATTTTTCCTGTCTTCTTTTCAAAAAGCCTCTCAATCCACAGTGTGATCTCCCCCATGACTTCCCTCTACAGCAGTGTGTTGCCTTGGTAATTACGAGTTGTCTTAAATAGACAGATGGAATAAGAGAGAGTGACGGGCAATTTTCCCGGAGTCTGCTTTCCCCATATATGTGCACGCTTTGCCTTTTTGCCCATGTTCTCTATGCACACTTCCTCATTTCTTTCTGTCTTTTCCTACTCTTTCTTGGGTCCTTTTCACCAACTTCCTGCGAGTTTGTAGGTGACTGATATGCCTGTGAAAAGCAAAAAAGGGGAATTACCTGAGGACAAGAGGTGTTACTTGAAGATTGGAGTGTGATAGTCTCATCTCATTCTTGTGTGCTGGTCATTGTAGATGCCAGGTGTCACTCTAGACCTTCACAGGGGACCCACAAGACATCACATATCTTCCATCTTTTTTTCTTTCCTTTCAGCATGACCCAAACATAGCAACAGGATTAGGCAAAGGGCTATTTTCGTCTGTAATGTGTTGGATAGGTGAGGGATGTCAGAAGAGTGTCAAACATGGTACATGAGCTGCTGATATCTTTTGTCAAAGTTCAGAGTTTGCTTATGTTGATGTCATCAAATGTCTCTTTCAGGCTGGTCTGATCAGGACAGAGAAAGAAGAGTTCTTTATTGAACCGGTGGAAAGGGGCGATGGAGTAATAGAAAAGGATGAGGACGGCGGAGGAGGGAGGACACACATCATCTATCGCTCGTCAGCTGTTAAGAAAGTGCCCATCAGCAGCCCAGCGGCAGACTACCACTCCAGAGGTTAGTCTGTGGTTCCCCTGTTGGTATCCTCCACTTTTATACATCCTTGACTAAACGCTCTTCATGCACACATCAGCAACACTTACTTCAGTTACTCCTTGAACTTGCAGCATGTTTGTGAAGGGGAGTTACACATTATCAGATCAAAATCCTACCAAAAAATATTTAGTGTATTGGTATTTTTACTAATAGATATCTCTATTTGTTTAGCTATTGTTATCCAAATATATTACTGGGTTGTTCTAACTAGAAACTAAAGCACCACGACATTTAAATGGCTAAAAACCTGACTATACTTAACAAGGAAATATTTTTTCAGTAAACAAATTACAAATTAGTATGATGTGCTCAAAGATTCCTTTTTTTTTGTCAAGTTGGCTTCCCTTATATGTCATTTGCTGGACAGGTATAGACTTTTTAAAACATGAAATCCTTGCAAAACCTCCCTTGGTGTCATTTTAACTATAGCTGCATGTTGCTGGTCTCTCAGGTCTGCTGCACTCCTCACATAAACAAAGCAACAGGCTGGTTAGATTGCTGCCTACTGTAGGCTGCTGCTCCTAATAGGCAACTTGTTGTGACATGGGATGTCCTAACAGGATGGTGTGACAGTGAACTAAACAAATCCAGTTGGCACATTCCAATCAAAGTTCTGCACAGCCAGCTAAAACAGGCAAAAGGTTAAATATAACTCACAAAACATAACAAAGGGAAAACAGGTATTTAGCTAAGCTATAAAAACATCTAAAGGATATGCCAGGGTGACAGTTAGAGGAAGACTGTTCCAAAGCTGAGGTACCCAAAGCGAAGAAGGTCACTCACCAAGGGTCTGTATCCTGACAGGCACATTCACAAGGCCCTCTGCCCTGAGATAAGAGGACGCAAGAAAATACATGCATGTTTACATGTGCAAGATCACATGAAGGAGGCACTAATCTATAAAGAATTGTGTAGGTTAATAAGAGCATATTGAAATCAGCCTGGACCTGACAAAGAAGCCA